TTCTGTTTGTCTTTGTGGCCCCTCCAACCCTCTCCCCCTTCTGCAGCTCGGCCAACCCACGCGGGCACCTGCCCCGGGGCCGACCCCCCATCCCGCAGTGCGGCCCAGCCCGCCCAACCCCCTCCCCTCCCATAGCGTGGCCAAACCCTGGGGCCGACCCCCGCTCCCGCAGCACAGGGAAACCCCTGCACTTGACTCACCCCTCCGGTGCCAGCAGTGCAGGGAAGCCACCACACTCCTCCTCCAAGGCCAACACCCCCTCCCTCAGCACACAATAGAGCTGTGAGAGGGGAGCAGCCCGTGCACTTCTGGAACCCCCAGAAGTGACGCAGGCTTCAGACAGGACTTCCATCTACCCTGCAGGAAGGTGGCAATACACTAGAGGTAGGTAGTGGGGCTTCTCGGGGGTGAGGGGGAAAATGGGGTGTTGGGGTGCCCGAACACCTCACGATCGACTGGTCGAGGCCTCGCGATCGACGGGTTGGTGACCACAGCCTTAGATGCTCTGAAGCCTACAATTGTTTGTAATGTGTTATGAGAACTAATGCCAATTATCTGATAGTACCGCACATTGTCATTTTTGTGCCTATGTATTACACTCTACCCACTATCACAAATTACTAGTTTACTATGTAAATTCAATAATATCAAATTAGGATGGCTGTGGGAACATTACAGTAAATAGTCTGACATTTGGGCATTTAAAATCTAAGTCATCAATTTACATTAATGTAGGATTCTCTGGATTTCAATTTTTTTAATTATTAAAGAAAACGTTCACTAACTGCACCTTGAATATTGTTTGTTTCATTATTCACACACATTTTAAAATAGGATTTGGTTTTAAACTGAGCAGGGAGACTTAAACCACAGCAGTTATTTGAATCTGAAGGGGAGCATGGGACACTGTCACAAGAATTTAGATGAGCATGTTCCTTTAAAATTTTACTTCTGTATACCAAGTACAATCTAACTGGAAATTTTCATTTATTAGGGAAAAAACAGCAGAGTCCTGCTATCACATACTAGTTACTAAAGTGGCAGGTTTGCCACTTAGATCATTGGTTCTCAGACTCTGACTTATGGCCCATTGATGATCAATGACATCCCTTGCTGCTGGTCTGTGGAGAGTTGCCTAGTTACATGGTGATACTTCTTGTTTCCAGCTGTTAAACTGCATTTAAGAGATAATTTAAACCATAATAAATACATCTCTGGTATTACTTTCCCCCAGAAGCAAATTACTATAATTGCCATAGAAGATTATGGTATTACAAAGGAAATGTAGGAGGCCTACGTGATTGCAAACAGGAATCTGTATATTAGATAACTTCTTCATAACATGGACCACATCTGCTTCAGGAAGATTGAGAGTCCTGATTTGGAACAGAGACACTGTGAGATAAGCTTGGTCCTTACTTTAGCAATGCCATAGCATTTCCTTGCAATGGTGGTCGTGGTCTTCGCTTGAAGAACTCATGGATAGTTTTAGTCTCAGGCATATGATATGGAAGAGACAGAGATGATTCTGTCAAAGGGGGGAAAAATCATGTAAGTTGTACATCAAAACAACATTTTTTTAAAAATCCAACTGTTTTTGGGACAGGTGGTTTCTAGCTAAAATATCAGAGCAAATTTAAATAGATCTTAACCCTGAATAAAGGTTGTATCTGAAGGACCTCTTCCCAATCACCAGTCTATTCTTGTGAAGAGGGACTACTGCAGCATGCAGAGGAACTCAAAGAAAACAGATTTTGTCATCAGGAAGAGAATTATATGATCTGTTCTAAAATCTGTTGCAAGTAAGAACCTGAGACACACCAAATCAGTTATATGTAGCCCAGCTATAATTTTTAAAAGATTCCAGTGACCTCTCATAGCCACGTGAATGCAAGTTGTAAGATTCCACTCAGGAATCTTGTTTGCACCAAGAGTCCATCACTAAGCAAGATTTTGGCAAAAACTGTTTTGCAGCCTATACACTTTAGATACAGAATAACTCATGTTAATCAACAGCAGAATCTTGCATATCAGAAGTTTCTGCTGCCCTCCAAAAGATATCTTAATAGCTCACACATAACATGTACACCAAAGAGTTTAGGTTTTACCTCTAACAAGTCGCTGAGTCTCACTATGCAGTCGTTTAATAGCTTCTTTACTTAATCTTGCTGCTTTCCGCTCCTTAAACAGATAAAAGAAAGGCCCTTGAAATCACAGGACTGAAATGTCGGAGTGTATCCATATGACCAGTTTTCATCTTTTAAACAGCGGGAAAACAAAAGAAAAAACTAACAGTTGTAGCAGAGTTTAAAAAAGAAAGAACCACCTCAAATAAACAAGAATAAGGTACTTTGATGAGACGCAACATAGAAAAGGCTTCAAATAAAAATTATAATGCATTACTGAGAGTTAAAAAAGAACAGATATTCATAATGAAATATTTCACCTTTCTTTTGGGTCCTTTTAGTGTAGGTCCCTCATTCTCATCATCAAATACACATTTGTAATCTTCAATCTCAGAAAACAGATCTTTACTCTATAAACGATAAAAAGAAGTCTATTACATTTCAAAACAAAGGGGGCTATCAAGGGCAAAGAAGCCTGCAACAAGATAACTTTCTACAATTATTTTTGTGCCATCAGTCTTGAAAAAAGATCAGCAAATATTCTAATAAACTAATGCCCAACCCTGTCCTGTTTCACTGCAACTTCTTTAAGAGCCTCTACAGCCTCTGTTGCAATACGATTTTTGGCATTTTCTATGTCAGTGCTCCTGATTAGTGGCACTATTACAGGCAGTCTCTGACTTACAAACGGGTTATGTTGTAAACACCTGGTCATAAATCGATTTCGTCGTAAGTCTGAAATACCCTTAAACGCGCTGCCCACACTGTTCGAAAAACTTGATGTACATGGTTCTCAACTCGAAAATATTATAATGGGGTTAATGGGAGGTTGGTTGTAAGTACAGATGGTCATAAGTCGGTGTGTTGTAAGTCGGGGAGCGGCTGTACTCCAATACCTCTAGAAAGAAAAATATGGATGCACACCAGTGCCACCAAAAATTTGCGTTACATACTTCAGTACAATACCCTCTACAAAGAAGTTTATGGTTATAACAGAATAGGTTACCTTATGTTTTTTCATTTTGTCTTTCACAGCAGCTCTTATTGATTCTAGTGACTCTTCATCTTCAAGAAGGGGATCATTTTCCTCCTCTAAATCATTGTCAAAGAGTTCTTTGTTGGCAAGAAGGCACCCACTATCATTAAAATCGTATGTTTCACCACCATCCTCCTGGTCAGCAGAAGAGTTAAAGTACAATGAACTATATTAACTTGCAAAACTTGTTTTCAAAATATTTGGAAGATCTCTTCATGATTTCAGGGCCATTAGCAAAATTTTAAAAAATAGCCCATCCCATCATCATTACATTATCCCCCAAGCAGTCTTTCACATTCTATAGGCCAGTCCTGTTCACTTTATAGAGCTCAAAATTAGATATGCTAATTGATGGAGGCAGGTTCTCAACTGCTGCAATCAGCATACCATAGAACTCACCTATGATTCAGAGAAAAACCCTAACCAGAACTTGGGAGCGCCTGAGTGGATGTCCAACTCTTTCTTTTGGTATGGAAACCTACATTAAATGGAAACCCTCAGCCCACCATCAAATGCCAGTATTTAACAACTGAAAATATCAGAAATGTTTGCAAGTAAACTTTTATACCTCCTGTTTGTGTTTCTTTTCTGTCTTCATCTGTCTAATAGCCTCCATTTTTCTCTCTTTTTCTGTCTTCCTTCTTGACTTCCCTATTACTCTGTCTGGTTCTTGGTTAAAACTGTGTTTGTGTTTTTTGTATTTTTTCCAAGATTTCACGGACATCTCTGCAGGTTTCCTCACTTGTGAGCCCAACTCATCCTTAGTCAATTCTGACTTCATGTCTATTTCAAGGTTTTCAGGATGCAGTGGATCACCCGTGTCACTCTCATCGCTGTCCCGCAGAGCTTGCTGAATCCGATGAGATTTTTTGTTCTTTGTGGCAAAAGTGTTTTCATTTTCCTCTCCATGTTCCACATCTTCATCCACAATGTCGCTCTTCTTAGGAAAAATGCCTTCCTCTTCCCCTTCGCTCTCACTGTCCTGAAGCACTTTCTTGCTTTTTGATTTTTTACTCACAAAGATCTCCTCCTCTGAGTCTGGTGGGAACATATTAAACTCTTTATGACACACATCACATTTTAAAAAAAAACATGCTAATTGACAAATGATTAGTTCATGCACCATGCCAGACACATTTCTCTGAGACACTTATTATCCCCTGAAGGCTCATGAATGCCAATGGAAATTTAATGCAGCATAGCAAATCAAATTTAATCTATACTTTGACAACCCATTTCCCTCCCCCCAATAGCACAGTATGTTATTATCTACCATTCAAGAACCTTAGAACCATTCCAAAACTACTTTCGTTTGTATAGTCTTTCCTTGAGATGAAAGTGTATTCTATCAAAACAAACAGTAATATAATAAGTGAATTATAATAGACACATGATGACCCCACTCCTGCAAATATTTAAACGTGTACATAATTTTAGTCAAATGACTAGTCCCATAAAAGCCACTGTGCAAGACTCCTTTTCTGCTATACAATAGTGAAATATATTTTAAGTGGGTATTCCTGCGTTAACTGTTTTTTTTTAAAGTTTGTATTTTATTTTTTCATGCCACGTCAATCTTCTTTTCAAGGGAGACCTTAACTGAACATTTTCTGGTTTCCTTTTGTTTGAGTTGGGAGATCTGATGTTCCGTATTTTAGAATGGTGCAGAGAGAGCAATGCAATGTTGTTCAGCAGAAATCTGGACCACACTTGAATTACAGATTTGTATAAATGTTATTGAAATGCAATATTAGTTTAGAATTATTATATGTAAAAAAGCTTGCAGTCCAGAAACTTCATAACACTACTACTGAGTTCAGACTGAAAAGTAATAAGAGAAAATAACACTTACTGAAATACTTAAAATGTTAGAGTTTGGTATCAGGAAAGAATTGACTCATCCAGTAAACATATAACAAAGTGTGTTCTCAGAATCTTGCTTTATCTGGTTATTTGCCTATGCAACTGTACCACGTACAGGAAACGTCACTGAGATACAACTTTAATGGGGAACTACTATGATAGCGTTATCTTAAAGTGCAAGTTTTATTTATAAAAACCACTGTTCCACCTCTCCACTGAGCTCTGAGCATCATGAGAAAATTCAATAGTTTTTAAATGGAACTCTTAGGACAAATGTTCCTCTGCCAGACTTCCTTCCCTCACAATAGCCTTTAAAAATTTGGCCAGATTGGATCTCACACAAAGCCATTCAAGTTAACACCACGGAACCTGCTTCTCTGGGCTTAGCAAATCATAAAAAAGAAGGAACTAAGCAGTTAAGATAGTCACTACCCCACTCATCATTTCCCTACCTCATCTCAGTCCAATGCTGCCCTTCCACTACCTTCCCATCTCCACTCTTATCCTGAGCAACCAAAAGGGCATTTGGAACTCGGAACAGACACATACTTATATTAGGGATGTAAAAATTTCTTTAAAAAGGTAACTGTGTAACTGCTAAAAATCCCAGCAGTTACACAGTTACATACAGCGGTCTCTGCAGTATAAAGCTTAAATAAGCTTTATATTGCAGAGCCCGCAGCGAAGGCTTCCCGGGAGTGGGGCCGCAAGCCCCTGCCAGCTGTGCTTTGTTGCTGCAGCAAAGCTACCTCCCCAGGAGCAGCTGGCTCCCCAGGAGCAGAGCTGGCAGCCCCTGCTGGCCCTGCTCCCAGGAAGCCAGCATATAACGTATGGCAGGGGGGCCAACCCGGGCCCGCCACAGACAGGAGTTGCGCCAGCTGGCTGGAGCATACCCTGCCTGCAGTGGGTCCCGCATGGCTGAAGCAGCCCCCTGCTTGGGGTGGGCGAGGAGCTGCTCCAGCTCCTAACAGGTTAACCAGAACCAGTAAGCATTACCCATGTAGAGTGATGCTTACTGGTTAGGGATGTGAAAGGTTAATTTATATGTTTACTAGGGGCTGCACCCCCTGCTTACTATGCTCGCTTACCCCCCTCTTTCTGGGGGGAAGGCAACCCAGCTCTCCCCCCAGGCACTGGGGTGGACCAGGCTGATGCTGTACCAGCCCCAGCTTTTTCTCTCACACAGACACACACACACACACACACACACACACACACACACACACAGTCCTGCCTTTTTCACACACACAGCACTCAGATGCATACACTTTTGCAAATGCACACATGTTGCACATGCACACACTCCCACACTGCACTCTGCACACTGCTGCTGGGGAGGGGAAGCAGCCTCAGCTAACACTGCTGCCCATGTGGGGCTGGCGCATCTGAGCCCCAGGAGGGAGGCGGAGATCATGGCCACTGCTAGAATCTGGCTCTGTGCTTGGGCTGTGGGAAGCAGGGAGGCAGTAGTGGTGGCCTGGAGGAAAGACCGAGACAGCCCCTGGCCTGCTGCCAGGGAGGGGAGTCTGGCTGGGGCTAAGGAGGCTGCCCACGCAGGGCCCAGAGCATCTGAGCCCCAGGATGGGGGCAGAGATCATGGCTTGAAGATGGGGTGACATGAGTGATGTGCTGATGTCACTCTGTTGTCCCACGGGGGGGAGGGGAGAGAGAGATGGATTTTGATAGTTAATACAATATTGCAGAGCCCTGTACTACATCATATGTATGTTTTCCACCTCGCACTACAACATACATATATTTTCCTATACTACATCATACATATATTTTGTACATGGCTTTGAATGGAATATTGGTGAGCGAAGTGGAATCAGATTGCAAATGACGTATGAGATATTTGCTTCTATAACATTTAGAAAAACATTCGTGTATGTACAGTGTTTGTTGCTAGTGACATTGGGGTGTTGTTTTGTTTAACGTCTGTAGACTTAGAGGAAAATTAAGGAGCCTGTCCTGGTAGCATAGAAAAATAACCGAGGATTAGCAAATCAAATGTGAGACTTCTGATTGGCAGATAGTCAAAGACCACATTCCCTCAGCCTTCTGCAAAGCAACCATCAGAGAACAAAGCCCAATTTTTTAAACTAAAACCCAAAAGAAAAACTTGACAGTATTACAGACCTTCGTCACCAAGAGATGCGGGTCCCTTGTTAGACTGACTTGGAGAGCTGGTTTCACAGCTGCCCTTTCCACTGTCAGAATCACTATCAGTGGTTTTCTGCAGGTCAGATTTCAGATCTACTTCCGAATTAAGCTGGAAACCAAGAATAATATTAACCATAATACAGTATAAATTGTTTAACAGAGATGACTCATTGAATTCAATTTCATCCAAGCACTTCAAATTGGATAACACACAATATATTGAAATGTTATTGCTATAACCTCTGAGGAACTCGGTTTATTCCACTGAGAAAATGAATACAACATATTATCTTATTACTGTATAAAGTTGATTAACTGATGAACACATTGAAAGTATTAAAGCAAAATCAAACATTGTATCCAGACACCCAGAGGAGGTTTTGGAGCAAATTGATAAACTAAACTGTAATAAGTCTCAGGTCCAGATGGCATTCACCCAAGAGTTCTCAAGGAACTCAAATGTGAAATGGTATAATTAATAACTGTAGTTTGTAACCTATCGCTTAAATCAGCTTCTGTACCACATGACTGGGGAATAGATAAATTGACACCAAGTTTTAAAAAGGGCTCCAGAGTAGCGATGTAAAAGCCTGTTTAATTAGTTAATTGGATAAACGTTAAGTTTAACCAGTTGACTGATTAAATAGAAGTGGGCTGGAGTGGCGGTACCACATGGGGCTGTTACAGCCAGCAACCCTATGCATAGGCTCAGCAATGCTAAAGGGCAGTGGGCTGTTCCCTGGGTACCAGTTAACCATTTGGATGATGCTAACCAGGTAACCAGTTACCCGTTAACATCCCTATTCCTGAGGTGATTGTGGCAATTACAGGCCGATAAACCTGACTTCGGTACTGGGCAAACTGGATGAAACTATAGTATATAATAAAAGTGTCAGACACACAGATGAATATAATTTAATGGGGGAAGAGTCAACTTGATTTATGCAAAGAGAAATCATGCCTCACCAATCTATTAGAATTCTTTGAGGGGGTCAACAAGCATGTGGACAGAGGGGATCCAGTGGATATAGTGTACTTAGATTTCCAGAAAGCCTTGAATGAGGTCCCTCATCAAAGGCTCTTAAGCAAAGTAAGTTGTGATGGGATAAGAAGGAAGGTCCTCTAATAGATTGATAACATAAACTATAGCCGTGGTCCCCAACACGGTGCCCGCGGGCGCCATGGTGCCCGCGGGGGCATTTGCATGCGCCCGCCAGGTGCTCGGGGCTGGCCTGGCCCCGGGCACATA